CTCTCTTGAATTGTGGTGCCCAGAATTGGACACAATATTCCAGGTGTGGTCTAACCAAAGCCTTGTCAAAGAAGGCCTTCCTGAAATCCAGACACACTCCATCCACGGATATCCTTAGGAAGGGTGTTCCACAGCCGAGGGGCCACCACTGAGAAGGCCCTATCTCTCGTCCCCACCAAATGTATTTGTGACGCAGGCGGGATCAAGAACAGATCCTCCCCAGATGATCTTAACATCCTCGATGGTTCACAGAAGGAGATGTGACCACGATTCTCAAATATGAAGCATTTGGGCTGTTTTTGAACATGGGTGGCATCATTGGGGTGGTGGCCCTACCCTGACTTCCAGGTCCAGCTTCCTCTGCAGCGCAGACACTTCTTTCTCCAGCTCTTCCTTCCGTTCCACCAAGGCCTTGACTTCAGCCGAAGGATCAGAAGTCTGCAAGGAAAAAGAACTTGGGTTTGTTCTAAGCATCTTAATTATGAACTTTATTTGTCCCCCGCTAGCATCTCCCGAAGGACTCAATGCGGCTTACAAAGGCCAAGGCCTCAACACACAACACAACAATACAACACCTAAAGCAAATTAAAAACAATTAAAGCAATATTAAATAACAAGCAATAAACAATACACCAAGACACAATAAAACTGGGCTGGGCCAGAGTAATGGCTACAGGATTAAAAGTGCTGATGTGACAGGTGGTATGTAGGATTATAGGGCAAGTGCAGTGCGCAGTGTGCAGCAATCTTAGTTCTACTAAAGTGCTTCTGGGACTTGGTAGTGGAGGTTTCCTAATCTGGAAAGGCACATCAGAACAGCCAGGTCTTCAAGTTCTTTCTGAAGACTGCCAATGTAGGGGCCTGTCTAAGGTCTTTGGGGAGGTTGTTCCAGAGTCGGGGGGCCACCACAGAAAAGGCCCTGTCTCGTGTCCCCACCAAGCGCGCTTTTGACGCAGGTGGAATCACAAGCAGGGCCTCTCCGGATGAACGAAGCGAACCTGTGGGTTCGTAAACGGAGATGCGGTCACGCAGGTAGGATGGACCCAAACCGTTCAAGGCTTTGCACCTTAAATTGGGCTCGGAAAATAAACGGCAGCCAGTGGAGCTCCTTGAACAGGAGGGTTGACCTCTCTCTGTAATGGGCCCCAGTTAACATCCTGGCCGCTGCCCATTGGACCAGTTGGAACTTCTGAGCCGTTTTCAAGGGCAGCCCCACGTAGAGTGCATTGCAGTAGTCCAACCTAGAGGTGACCAAGGCATGGACCACCCCGGCCAGATCCGCCTTCGCGAGGTACGGTCGCAGTTGGCGCACGAGTCTCAATTGTGCAAAGGCCCTCCCGGACACCGCCGACGCCTGAGCCTCAAGCATGAGCGATGAATCCAAGAGGACTCCCAAACTGCGGACCTGTGGCTTCAGGGGGAGTGCAACCCCGATCCAGTTTCCGATTGACCAGGAGGGCCTCTGTCTTTTCGGGATTGATCTTCAGCTTGTTCGTCCTCATCCAGATAGACACAGCGGCCAGGCACTCGTCCAGCACCCGAGGGCCTTCCTTGGAGTTAGGTGGAAAGGAGTAATAGAGTTGTGTGTCATCTGCGTAGAGGTGGCACCCAACTCCAAAACTCCGGATGACCTCTTCCAGCGGTTTCATGCGGATGTTGAAAAGCATGGGAGACAGCATAGAGCCTTGTGGGACCCCACAGGTCAAGGGCCAGGGGTCTGAGCAGGCGTCTCCCAGCTTCTCCATCTGGGATCGACCCTCCAGGAAGGATCTTAATATGCCTCACTTTGCGTAAGCAGCAACAACAGAGTTCGTCGAGAGCACATTCTAGCAGAAGGCACTCCTCTTATTGATTCTGGGCGCAAGCCAACGCTTCATAATAAGGCCAGAGGCCTCAATGAGGGACTTGGTTGCATGCCTTCACAGGAAGCCAGAAAGTAAGAGAGATGCTCTTCTCCTTTTGCATTTTGTGTGTGTGTGGGGTGTGTGTGTGTGTGTGGTAATTAATACATATTTTACCTGGGTGTTGCCAGCTGCTCTGGACTTCAGAGTCTGGATCTTCTCAAAGACCAAGTTGACCTTCCTCTTGGTGGCATCGTCATTTTCGCCGCTCCTGAAACATGAGCAAACGTTAGCCATGGAAATGGAGACCACAGTCAAGACATCAGAAGAAGGCCAAGGCTTGGAATCATAGTTATGAAGGAACTAGAGAAGATCCTCAAATATTATTATTATTATTTCGTATCAAAAGCATTGCATAAATTAGTATAAAACTGAACATGAGGAAGAACTTCCTGACTGTGAGAGCCGTTCAGCAGTGGAACTCTCTGCCCCGGAGTGTGGTGGAGGCTCCTTCTTTGGAAGCTTTGAAACAGAGGCTGGATGGCCATCTGTCAGGGTTGATTTGAATGCAATATTCCTGCTTCTTGGCAGAATGGGGTTGGACTGGATGATGGCCCAGGAGCTCTCTTCCAACTCTAGGATTCTAGGATTCTATGCAAGGGTCTGAAGTAGTCATGTACTGGCACGGCTGTGCCAGGAGATTTGAATTTCTTTGTCTTGCACTGTTAGTTTGCATGAATCCATTTAGGCCATGCATTTTGCAATTGGGTAGTTTTCCCCAGGTTGCAATCATAGGGCCAACAACCTATCAATCATCGTTAGAGCCTTTAGATTCACCTCTTTCTCCAGTTTTGGAGGGAAAAGGGGACTTTTAGTTCAGTCTCACAGTCTGGAGCCCTAGTTCAGTCTCACAATTTGGAGCCTTAGTTCAGTCTCACAGTCTGGAGCCTTACGTGTGGGCTTTTCTCTGTCCCACCTGCAAAAAGCTTCACTTTTTACAGCTTTGCTGGGGAAAATAGAAAAAGTCTCACAGCTTTTGCTGGGGGAAAAGGAAAACCTCTACAGCTTTTGCTGGGGAATAAAGTTACAGTTCCACAGACTTTGCTGGAGGAATGGGATTTGGCCTGCATCAATAGGAGCCTAGTGTCTAGATCTAGGGAAGTCATGCTCCCCATGCTCTATTCCGCTTTGGTTAGACCACACCTGGAATATTGTGTCCACTTCTGGGCGCCACAATTCAAGAGAGATATTGACTCTAAGCTGGAATGTGTCCAGAAGAGGGCGACTCAAATGATCAAGGGTCTGGAGAACAAGCCCTATGAGGAGCGGCTTAAGGAGCTGGGCATGTTTAGCCTGAAGAAGAGAAGGCTGAGAGGAGATATGATGCGGGCCATGTATAAATATGTGAGAGGAGGCCACAGGGAGGAAGGAGCAAGCTTGTTTTCTGCTTCCATGGAGATTAGGACTAGGAACAATGGCTTCAAACTACAAGAAAGGAGATTCCATCTGAACATAAGGAAGAACTTCCTGACTGTGAGA